TTAGCAGTTTAAACACTGATTTTATAGTTGATTTAGTACATTTTCGCTTGTGATTTTATTATCAGTTGAGAATTTCATATACGTGTGTTAGAGCAATAGATACCAGTGATGAAGTATGCATTTTTAAAGAAGAATTTGTAATCTACAATCAATTATGAAACATATAGGTTTATCAGAGAAGGGACACAAGCATATTATTATTCTATAGATAAGTTTTAAAAATACACATGCTAATTTCAACATATACTACTCTATGCAGAAGTGTGTTAAAAAAATCACTCACGATTCCCAGTGACCTTAATTCCCTCTCTGAGTGTCTTGATCTTTCCATGGGTGAAGATGTAAGAAACAAAAGCTCTCGTTTGTTCCAGGAACATAGGATCCAGTTGTTCTTCTGAGATAGTATCAAGCTTGCGTAAGAGTGCTTTGTCACATGTTGGTTGGTCAAAGACAAAACATTTCCGTTTAGGGAAGAAACGTCTGATGCACTCCCTGGACAGATTGGATGCTTGGATTCTGGGATTGTCACCTAGTGTTAAGGGAAACACAAAGCCATGGGGTAGTCTTAGAAGAGAGAGAAAATGATGAAGGCCCTTGTCTCTGTGAAGTGTTCTACACTCTCAGGTCTCTACCATAAACATTCAACACTTCTTTACAGGTCAAAAGTATACCAAGTTTGTACTTGGCAGACATTTGTTGAAATATTCAGGAGACATTTGACTCCACTGGAGGATCATATGGTTGATATCCACAGACCTAAACATGCCATCAAGCACATTTTAGTTGTGTATCCTGTTGACTGAGCAACAAAACACCAAGTGTTATTTCTGATCCAATCACCCCTTTGTATAGAAGGAGCTATGGGACTCAAAAGAAGAGCCACAAAGGATTTTTTTAAAAAGTAGTAAAAATAGCAGCCTTAGCAATTCTCAGAATGATGCCATGGTTAGCAAAGTAAAACTACTTTGACACTAAAAGACTTCATTTGTTGTCAATGCCAAGTATACACTCCTAGAAAATGTGTGTTCTTCACACCTGGGAAGGAAGACGGGTCCATGAAAATATGTAGGATAATTAAGTCTAAAGATTTTACGTGGAACATCAAGACAGTACTGCTGTACTGATATGTGTATGCATGTTTGCCTGTGTCTGGGTGTATGTGTGTGAATGAAAGATAAAAAGAAAGGAGCAGAAAGGAAAGGAGCAGAAAGGAAAGGGAAGAAGGGAAGGAAAGAAGAAAGGGGAGGGGAGGGGAGGG